GTCATAATTAACGTTCCGGGTAAGAATTGCTGAGAGTATTTTCAAATATTTCTGTTACAAGGTTGTTTCTTTTCCACTTTATTAGGAAGATAAAGTAGCCCGGAACTTCAATTATTGTCATGATTTACGTTCCGGGTTGGAATTGCTGAGAGTATTTTCAAATATCTTTGTTACTAGGTCGTTCCTTTTCCACTTTATTACGAAGATAAAGTAGCCCGGAACTAAAATTATGGTCAAAATTAACGTTCTGGGTTACAATTGCTGTGTGTTTTCAAACATCTTTTGTTACTAGGTTGTTTCTTTTCCACTTTATTACGAAGATGAAGTAGCCCGGAACCACAAATAATTTTCCGGGTTACAATTTCTGATATTATACTTTCATGTAAATTAGTTAAAACTGATTCGTCGAGAAACATTATTTTGTTAAAAAAACACGATTACCCGCTGAATGATGAAGCCACGCATTCCAGCGTAGCAACATGCAACACTGTTATGTGTACATGTATTTGTATAAAAATTCAGTATGATATAATAAATATTGCATGTAGTTGCGTTTAACATTTAAAATTTTCACCTTTCGAAAACCATTGTCAACCTCGGCTGCGCCTCGATTGACAATGGTTTTCTTGGGGTGCATTCAACTATATGCAATATTTATATAAGAGTAATTTCAAAGTTATTTGTTACCTGTTCATTTTCTCCCACTTTATAACAAAGATAAAATAACCCGGGACCAAGTTAACGGTTATAATAGACGTTCCAGGTTACAATAGCCAGAGTATATGTAATTTTAATTTCACAGGTGTATTTCTAGTGACAAGACTTTCTCTAGGATACCAACAATTTTGACCTTGACCTTGGAGTTTGAACTATTAAAAAAAACCCTTTAATTTAACCTTGGCCATAACTTTTGACATTTGATGCTAAGGCTTTTATATTTCACATGTATATTTCATGTGACGGGTCCTTTCCCTGGGTATCATTGATTTTGACCCTTTGAGTTTGACCCACTTTTTAAAAACTATAACCTTGGCCATATATAACTTTTGAACGGTTGGTTCTTGGGCTTTCATATTTCACAGGTATTTTCATTGATACAGGTCCTTTTTTGGAAAACAACATTTTTGATCTCTTGACCTTGAGCTTAGAGTTTAACTTGCACTTTAGAAACTTTACCCTTCACAAAAGACTGCCGTGCGGGAGCATCAGTGTTTCACAAACGCATTTTGTTTTTTATTACGACTCACTTTACCTAATGTGTTTACGTTAAAGCGTTTGGACTTTTTTTTAACTATTAATCTAAAACAATTCCAGTATTTAATGTGAGTATGTAACCCTGTCTTTGACACATAATCTTTCAATTTTAGCCTTAAAAATATATTATTATCAATTGCTTTAGACATATATCTTATCGCATTTCAACAATAACAAACAATGCAAAATAATACACAATGGCATTGTATGGTAGTTTTTTATAGATGACTCAACCGTAATATATAATTATATCATGGAGAATTACCATATCATATAAGAAAAAAACTTTTTCTCAACTTAAAGGCATAATGGATATATGTCCCAAAATTACAGAGATCATGGATCTTGTGAGCACTTAATAATTGTACAAATTTGAAAAAAAACGACTTCTGTCAGTAATACTTCTCGACATATTTTTATAGAAGCTTTTCAAAATGCAGGCAATTTAAAACAAAATGGTATTCATCCTCTACTTCACCACTGCCCCCTCCCAGTTAAAGTTTTCGTTCGTACGTTATAACAACTCTCATTTCATCTTCAACATCCCCCCCTCCCCCTGAATTATTTTTAGATCCACGCATGTTCACTTGAACACATTCTACACATTCCACTCTCCTTAAGTATTTTATTATGACGTCCTGTCTCATTTTCAAGATTACAAGATGAAAGCCTAATTCGTCTAACTTAAATGGAGCTGTGCAGTTTTTAAACTGACGAAAATTACACGCCGCATTTTAGTTTCACGGAGGGAGGGGGATATTTTCCATTTTCCACTGCATTCTATAGCGGAAAACATGTTCCAACAGAATTACAGAATAATCTCTTCTTCTTCCCAAATAATTATTGTTTTGAAACTTCGTTTATTTATATAATATATCATTCAGATATGCCTTTTGAAAACTGAGTTCTGAATACATGGTATATAAATCTCGGCGTTCGACATTTTAGCGGGGAAAAATGGACGTTTTAGCGAAAATGTGACATTTAAGCGGAAATTAAAATACATACTTACATTCAACAAATTGTTAAGTAAATTATAATTATATCTATGCCTCTTCCGTTAGCCAGTCGGGCTAAATTTTCTGCCCCCTGTTGGGGGGGGGGGGGGGTAGGATTTTGCGCAGGCTTAACAATACTATTAATTTCTCAGGATTGTAAAATACAAATCTGTATCTGTATTACATTTCCTCTTCAGAGTTATTATTACAAATGCTGATAAGTGCACTTACCTGTATAAATAAAAATGAGCTGAGTTTTATTCAATAGTTTTTAGCCGTGACCTTGAAACCTTTGCTAGAATCGGGATCTTAGAAATTTTAAAGTTCGTCATATTTTGCTGGCATTACATTGACTGTTTAAAAAATAAATTTTATCCGAAAAAAAAATCCACAAAATTTTTATTATTACAGGAAATTGCTTTTCTTCATATTAAATACTTTATAAATTTTCCGCTGAAATTAATGTTTATTCACACCTTTGCAAGTCCGTCGCCCACACATCTCCTATTATGTTCATTCACGTAATGTGATTTAATTATATAGTTGGCTTTACAAAAACGCAATGGGTGTTTGAAAAAATATATATAAAGATATCAAAATATTATCCAGTAATTTTTTTAATCGTAAATATAATTCATCTACATGTATTAGCATTACCAGTTGATCGGGGTGCCCTTTGCCTAAAACTCATTTAAAATTGCGGAAGTGACATACAGCGATTCGCATGAATGCACATTGTAGCGATAGAAGGGAGTCATATAACAACATGAAGGGGTATATCAATGTAAACAAGTTTCACACCTTCGCGTTCTTTTGTTTACAAAGAAACAACATAATTACGTATAATTCCATGGATTATAGTATTGGTACATGTATTAAGACCGTATATTGGGACTTCTTCTAAATCGATATACGTGTAAATCCTGCTGCATCGTATAACCCGTTAAGAGAAAGAAAAAATCCAAATTATTTGTAAATATTAATTATAAATAAAGTTTTTAAAAGGGTGCTTGGATGCCCGGAACGTTTATTATGGCCGGAACCAAACTTACGCGGGCCGGAACGTTTATTATAGCCCGGAACCAATATTATAGGTATTTAGCGTTCCGGCCGGAACGCTAAGTTACCCGGAACGTAAATTATGCGACACCGGTTGCTGACTTTTGTACGTGTTAACGAGAGTAATTAGGCGATAAGATCACAGTACACAGACATCAAGGAACTTTGTCGTTCGTGTATAATTTGTTAGAAATACAGGTCAACATGAGTCGTTTGTCTACAGAATAACATTTTGATAGATAGAGATTTGCCTGTTCCTAAATAAAAGATGGTCATCTTCAATCGCTGTTGTCAATTTCTATATTTCTATGGTTGAACAAAGTCAAGTAAAATTAAATACTTGTTATTTATGTCTATGTTCTTGATACCTTTGGCTTAAATATACTAATAGGAGCATTTAGAACTATGTATCAGAGGGAGGGAGGGAGTAAATACAAAATAACCATGTTCACGTGTCTGGAAGTTTTGATGCACTAACAAATCCAAAAAAAGAAAAAAAAATCCTCTGTTGACACTTTCTAGTTACTTCATAAACACTTCTCTTTTATTTCTCTGAATGCTTCTGAAATAACATAATAAATTCGATATTCCATTTCTATTTTTTCATTCAGTGTTTGCAGTGTTTGCATCGCTCAGAAAAATAATTATTTCAATCAATATTGATATTAGTATGGTTCTAAATAACAAGATTACAACCTTTTAAAGTAGTAGACGACATTTAATTTTTGATAGGAGACTTCTTCCTTTCTTTACATTGTAACGGATCTGATCGCGTTATGAAGATGGAATTGAAAAAGTTCATACACCGAGAAATCAAAATCTCAATAAATCTGGGGTTCTTGTGGCGAAAAGCGGTAGCAATCGGTAACAACTTCACCTAAATCTGGCCTGCCCTGACGAATTTCCCAAACACCTCAATTTATTATCAACATTATCATGGGAAACCCTATCGACGTTTACATAAAACCCAAGACCCTTATGACCATATGCTTTGCAATTGGCCAAAATCACACGTTTTTTGTATATCATTTGTAGATTTATTATCATTTTTTCTACATTAGAACCGTTGAGAAACCAAATTTATTCGATTTGTTATTGTTAAAGCCGCCTGTGTTTACAACAATCATCCTTAGATGATTGGGCATAATTTTTTACAGATGCCTGCAATTTTTCCCCCTTGATTCTCATAAAAAATATAGTTCATATATTTAAAAAAAAACAGCATTCCGTTTCATATTTACAAATTTATTTGTGACATGAAGAAAATTTTAAACCTACTCAAAACCACGATAAATTTATTCTCTAAGTACAGCTGACTTATTTTCTAAGCCTCAGTGTTAAGACAACTGCGATTAATACAGATCTAGTTTTCTGATGCTCATCGACGGGATGTTGTTGCAATTTCTTTTCAATGGTTTTTACGAGAAAAATTCTAGCTAGAGTTTTTGTACATAAGGGAACACGTGCTTATTTTTCTAACGCTTCTGTCAAGTTAAAATTTTGCTAAAAGTGATTATTCTGACTGTTGGAAAAACATTTTACTGAAAAATGACTGATTCTGATTCTGTTCACCTGGAAAATTCCTTAAACACGAGCGGTTGACTAAGGTACAATTATAAACATCAAAATACTAAATATTTATAATTACATTTATTTGCGTAATATCAATTGATACAATGAGTTACAATGAAAATTATATCATGATATGATCATATTGAACACATTAATTAAACATAAAGATTTATAGCACCTTGTATTTGAATATATTATTTGGCACATATGGAATATTATGGGACTGTGTTTCTCGTTTTGATTTTAGAATGATATATATGACCACATACGAATGAAGAATACAATATTCACACAATGCATTGTCCCCTGTGTAAACTCGAATTAAGTCCATCAAAAATGTCCTCCTGATCCAAAACATAGCTTCCAGAAGTCGTCGTACTGTCGTCATGACCACAGTAACTTCCGGCGTCTGAATACAAACTCTCCTGTCTCTGGAACACTCCTGCAGCATTTCGCTGCTGAGGAGAAAGATTATTGCATGGATATGTCACTTTCTGCTGCAAATTGTCTTTTGCGTTTATAGAATTTCCATGCAGCTTTAAATTCGGTCTACTGAAGGTACTAAATGACAATTCTTTTCTCGGCGAATTGTGCTTTGTATTTTCTGGAAAAAAATCGAAAATGAAACATTAAACGGTGATCAAATAGCAATCATCTCTCGCGCAGGAGAGTACTGAGTTCAAATAATTTACCTCTTTAAATAAATAAATAATCGTGGGTGATAGTGTCAAGAAGATTGTTATGACATTTTTGTTTACTACATAATTGGATTTCCATGTTCTATAAACTTATCTGAGAGACACCAATATATGAGAAGAGAGACAGCAACCAAACGTTATCAAAAATTCTCTTTATTTAAGCAAAGAGTCGCATGAAATCCAGGTACTTTTGGTTTATATAATATGATAAATATGACGATAAAGAAGGTGAAAGTTCAGTGCATTGCAGAGGACTACATCAGATGATACAACAAGTGACATATGACTAATGCAAGGTGTGTAATTCACTGGGTATCTGACGGAAGTTAATGCAAAATAATTACATATTCTCACTGATTAAATAATGTTTCCTTGCAGTATAAGTTTGCTAGACCATGACTTTTTATTCATGTTTATTAACAAAAGTAGGGTTCGAAGTTTGTTTCTTCTTCATGTTTACTTTATTTACAAAAAAAATATGTTCTCTTACCAAAATCTATTGAACTGGAATGAGAAAGTAGAATACTGTTGTTAAGGTCATCTTCACTTCCGCCTCGGCCACTGTCACTTGGAGTGAGCTCCCCTGAACGATCACTTGTGCTGTCCTTTTCTTTTCTCACCTGAAATATTATGCATTTTATTAAAAATTAAATTTGGAAAACTTGACACCTAACATCTTATTACCAAGAGAGAGAGAGGACTCACCAATTGTGACCCTGGTCTGTAAGAGTTACTGGACCTTAGTACGTGTTGGAGAGTAAAGGGAGTTAACTGGTGATGTATTTTGTCATCCTGGCCAAGATTAGCGGTGATCCCTTTAGTGGAAATCTAAATAAGAAACAAACATTTCTTAAGTAAGTAAAATAAATATTGGTGATTTTTGAATTGGCTTTCAATTATTTGAAACATGTCAGATAGAGCGGGATAATCCGCTTACTCCCCCTTGAATCACGTGGGTTCAAAATTTCGGAAAAAGGATAAATTAATGATAAATATTGACCCGACTATTGGATAAGAGCGATTTGGTTTTGGTAAAAGAGTGGAATTTGCCGCTAACAGGTCGATTAAGATATCAAAAACGACAGATTAATGACTAATTTTTAAAGATAAAAGTCATAAATTGACATGTTATTACCAACAGGAGATAAACTAAGGACTAAATCTTATCAAGATTTTTCAAAGGGCTTAGACGTTTTTGTTAAAATGGTAACTTTTATTTTTCTTTTCAATCTTATGTCAAACAGATGTTAAAACATTTTAAACATTCAATTTTAAAAATTAATATGGATCAAACTTTAAAGAAGAACATGAAAAGAGAATGTTAAAACCCAAGACAGATTGACGTAAGAAAATGCTTGTTAGGAGCCGTAATCATAATGCACTAACATATATTTAATGACAATATTGGTATAGAGCACATTTTCAATTGTATTTTTAATCCAACAACTTTCTACACTGTGAGAATAAATCGATTGAAAGGCTTGATGCTATTTTTTAAAAATAAATGAGGTTAGAATGATTTAAATCCTGCTTACTTCTCAGGAGTGAAGTAAAAATATTTTTCTTTGCTTGAGGAAAATGACCCAGTCGGTAAATGACTCAACAACATACAAAATGAGTTTAAGAAAAAGAAATTGAGGCGAGCGAAAGAGTTTTCTTTTTCCAATTCAGTTAGTGATTGCTAAGCGTTGCGGATACTGGGGTTCGATGTTTTAGTAAAAACTCCCACGGGCCATTGGTACCCGGTATATATGAGGAAATTTGATCTGAACACATCACGATCTCGATGTACTGACACCTGTATGTGGCTTGACAGATGACATTTCTTTCAAAACAAATGAGGGTTAGTCCCGAGCTAGTTAAAGCTTGTGCAATAATTTAAAAAGCGCACTGTAATTAAACTAAGACTGCGCTATTTGCTCAAAATTATATTCTGGCTCTCTGTGGTTTCCTCTTTCAACCTTATGAATCGACATGAAAAATAAACAAACTAGTGAAAAATTTCTCAGTGGTCCTCCGTTTTCATGTTTCAGTTTACTGATGGCTGACCGTAGGCCAAAAGTGTTATTTGAGCGGTTCACTCGATTATTTGCCTACCTTGGGGGTACGGACACATTACGCATGTCGAGCGCGAAATGACTGTCCTTATCTCGGAGAATCTGTCACAGGGATGGACACAGCAAGCAGATTTTATTTCATTGAACTATTTTAATGAGTCTCCATGTCAAAATTTTCACGAGTGACCTGCCCTTTTACTTTGTGATTAAGTGACATTTACGGACCTATTTACGTGTCTCATGGTCGATCTACGTTTTGTAAATTTTTATTCATTTAAAAGATATCAACATGAATCTAGATTTGATATTTTGATATTAAACTACGGTCTTTATTTACATGACATTCTCTTTAAATCATTGCAATCATTAGTTCCTTATAGAGAATTATTATTTTTTTGTGTGTGCAATAAACATTAATGTTGATTATAGTTTTCATAGAAATAATACAGTACACATCTTTGATCTAATATTGTCTTGAATCAATTGAATTAGTCAGTAAAAGTTGCTTTTCAGATTCTAAATCCTTGTAATTTCCTATCTAATGGCCCATGAAAATATTTTCGTAGTGATGCACCATGGAAACTTTATTACCAGAGCTTTTATAATTGAACAGTTAACTCTAAATTGAATGTTTTTTGAACTGTGCGAATTTTATCTCTTTTTCTCCAAAAGAGAAAAGGTGATGATAAAAAATTAATGGTGTGTGACATATTACCTGGGAGTCCACCATGGAACTGTGGAGAACCGGGTACAACTGGTGCTCAGGTGATTCTTTGTCCAACATCCCACTGCAGTGTAAAGAATCCATGGCATTCTCATGGAATCTTTGAGCTGAAATTTCAGAATAGGGCTCAGTTTTTTGTTGTTCGTGATATTTCTGACGCAATCGATCGGCTCTTTTGATCAAACAAATTGTCAAGACGATGACCACCGCAATCACTATGGTAACACAGGAAATTGCTATAGCGATGAGAAAGTATTTGTGATCGTCTGGTGCAGAAATCCCATCTGGTATCTGTTGACTTGTCACTATTATCGTCATTGTCCTTTCGGTAGTCCTTGGGGGTGTTCCTTTGTCTTGGGCAATGATGGACAGTTTATATTTTCCAATTTCTTTCGTTGTCAGTTGTCTCATAAGAATTAGTCTCCCAGACAAACTGTTTAGTTGAAAAAGATGTGAGTAGTTCCTGTCCCTAGTGACGTAGGTCACGGTTGCGTTGAGTCCTTCATCAATGTCCCTGGTATCTAAGTGAGCAATGACGGTGTGGGGTAAGGTCTGATATGAGATGATGACAGTACTGTTGTTATCGCTTGGGAACATGAAGATGGGGTCATTGTCATTCATATCCAAAACATCAATGGTGATCTTAGCAGACGATTGTTGGGGAGGAGACCCGGAATCAGACGCCACAACTGTGAACTGATACTTGGCAATGACCTCTCGGTCTAGAACCTCTGTCGTTCTGATGGTTCCATTAGGTAGAATATCAAAAGGTATTCCACCACTGTACTGTGGTAAAAGGGAGAATGTCACTTTTTTATTTTCATCTTTATCAGTTGCAATAAGTAATCCAACAGATGTATATTTAGGAGCATTTTCCTGAATGGCAAATTCAAAGCTGTCGTTTTGGAATTCAGGTTTGTTGTCATTGATGTCAGTAATTCTGATGACAACACTGGCAGTACCTGTCCTCGAAGGAGAACCACCATCTACTGCAAGGACGTTAAGTTTGATCAAAGATGTTTCCTCCCGGTCAAGTCTGAACTGTGCAGAAATAAGTCCTGTTTTAGGGTCAATAAAAAAGTTGTATTTTGACGGCTGAAGTCTATATGTGATTTCAGCATTTTTACCAGTGTCTTTATCAGAAGCAGAAACTCTAATGAGACTGGATCCAATGTTGTTGTCTTCCTGGGTTTGCACCACATACCCAGGCTTTGTAAACACCGGGTCATGGTCATTCTCGTCAAGGACGGTCACTTTAAAGGTTGAGGACGCTTTCAGAGGTGGAGTGCCCTCATCTTGACACAGTACAGTGACGCTGTACTCCGATTGCACTTCTCTATCTAATGGCTGAGACACTACAACCTTATACTCAAGAACATTAAATTTTTGGAGTTGAAATTTTTCACTCCGAATTGAACAATTAATATTTCCATTATAGCCGGTATCCGGGTCGTCCACAGTGACGTGTGCTATGGGGGCATTAGGTGAAGCACTCTCCAATATCTGAGCTTTGTCGGTGTTTGACAGCAAATCCACCTTGATCCGTGGTGGGTTGTTATGAGTATCTCGCACATTAACAGTTATTTGGGTTTGAGACATAAGAGGCTGTTTGGCACGATCACTAGCCTCTACAATAATTCTATACTGTTTTCCAGGTTCAAAAATTAAAGATTCCTTCACTTGCAAAGCCCCACTCGTTGGAACAATTTGAAACAACTTCAAAATTTTATCATCCTGTCGAGGACTTAAGCTATAAATGACGTCACCATTCAGCCCTTCGTCATCATCCTGTGCTCTGACGGTTAGAATTGTGGTGTTTACTGCAACATCTTCATCCACAGTAACATTGTACTGGGCCTGAGTGAACACGGGCTGTTGGTCATTAATGTCCAGAACGTTCACAAAAACAAGCAAGGTTCCAACATTTGCAGGTGCGCCACCATCTTCAGCCACAACCTAGAAAATTCATTGCAAATTATTGCTGATATTTTCTTTTTGTTGTCAAATAGAGAAAGAATCGGAAATTTCGAATTACTTAACCAGCAATTCACGTACAGTTCATGCAGTATTTGCAAAGCAAATTATCAAGTAGGTGATAATAAACATATATATTTTATACAGCACAAATTATTATTAACTTGTAGAAGTTGCTAAGATGTATAACATGTTTATTTTTATGGAACATGGTCACTACTATACATATACAATTTCCTAAAAAAAAGTATGATGAATGAATATTTACCTGAAACTGGTAGGACTTTTGAATTTCTCGGTCGAGAGTTTTGTTGAGAACAAGACGAACACGAGAACTTCCATCGACATTTTTCTGAAACTGGACGGAAAATGGTGCTGTATGAGGGACAACCTTATAAATATTTACCGAATAATGTCCACTGTCCTTGTCTACAGCCCCTTCAATGGGGAAAGATGTCCCCACCAAAGACCCCTCCGATACCGACAAATTCACAGAACCATCAGGAAAGGTGGGGGAATTGTCATTAATATCCAGAATTTCTATTTTCAGTTTAACTTTTTGATAAAAACTTCCTGAATTACGACAGATCACATCCAAATTAAGCAGGCATTCTGTGACAAATTTACATTCGGAGAGAGATTCTCTGTCAATTCGCATTCCAACGGAAAGAGATCCCGTTTTTTCATCGAGTTGAAATAAAGATGTTAGAGGGTTTGATTGAGATAAAAAGATGTATTCCCTCGTGAGATCACCAGAGGATAGGTTGGCGTCTATGGCAATGTTTCCGATCAATGTTCCAAGGGCAGATTCCTCGGACACAGCGTAGTGTAATAACTGACCACAGGTCACAGGTAAACAGATAATTATTGTCCACAAATACTTCGTAAATGCCATGTTTATATCTTCACTTTTAAAGCCTGTTCATTTGTTGAATTTCTTGAAGATCTGTAAAAAACAGAAAAAATGCATTGAAGAAATAAAATTCCATTCAGCAGCTTCCTGAGATTCCGAAAGATAGTAATTGATTTTACTTACTGATTAAGTATCAACTAGTATGAGACAAGCTGATTAGTCATTTTGTCATAAATATTGCTTCCATCCATCACTACCATACTATACTCTTCTATAGCCTTTCACCTGGATAATGTGCTTTATTTACACCTGGGAAATATGCGTAAGAAGCCCCGCCCAACAAAACTGAGTCAGCCAATCAGCGATGTCAGCACAACTCTGTTTTGGCACGCGTGTATTGTGATATAGCAGAAAATACATTTTATTTTTCGTTTTCTATTATTTACAGGTGAAAGTTCATTTGACCCCCCAAAATAGTATAGGTCTTGGCATTGAAATAACCATACTAGTGACATCAGAGAGAGAGTTTGGTTTCTCTGAGCAAGCAGCGATATTAATGATAACTGACGTCTTCCTGTAGAAGATTTTCTTTGATACATATTGTGAACCAGAAAAGATGACAGCTTTACATTAAATCATGATGGACAATGATGAAAATAATTAAGGTCAGACGATCCATGCCACGGGGTCTTTTGTGGTCACTAATTACGAACTGTCCATAACACCCTCTATGACAAGACATGCAAACCGGGAATTCATACATGTCTATGTCAATTTGTTCTAAAATATCCAAGTCTTTCTACTAAAATGATAATGCTTTTAAAGCTTCTTTTGAACAAATTCACTCCCCAAATCATTTTATTATTCAAAACCAGGTGTGTCCATTGCATAACCGTTAGACGCAGGGATAGACAAACTTTTATCGGATTAATTCCGTAAATAAACAATGTTCTGATATCACATTATTTACTGGTCTTTTCAATGGCAATTTTCTTTTGTGATGGTAGGATCATTCCGTTTCAATTAAAGTTTTAAATCAACCTAAAGTCAGAAAAATCGCGTTCGATTTTCTGATTAAGGTGGCAGACGTCTCCATGATAAGGTGAAAGCTTCCTATCTAAATCCCTTACCCAGTAATACAGAGATGAATGGCAGCGAAATTCATTTTCTTAAAATAAATATTTTGTTGTATTACAGAATCAAGCTTGAATTTAACAACATAATGCCATTTAATTCCTGTTTATCGAGTTTATAGTTTGACCCCCCTATTCATATCAGTTGAGAGGAAAATTCAGAAAATATACCGCCATTTGCAAAAGCCGGATTTAAGATGAAGTATATGACTGTTCTAATTAAAGGTTACGGGTTTGACTTTGGAAGACAATGACAGGAAGGTGAATAAACTTCCTGTCCTAGAAGAATGTATTTTCAAACATGTGGAGGATGTTGGTATACCCTTAGATTATAGCATGACATAGATTTTCTACTCACGTTTTCACTCAACTTGATAATTTATATTCAACGCACAACACACATTTTATTTATAAATTAAGAGTTAGAAGTATTCAATCCATGGCGATTGGATGGTAGATAATTTGTATAGACCACCCTTGCTTTGTTCTTAATCGTAAGGTTAAAAATTAAAAAAAAATTAAATTGGTATTTTTCTACAAAAAATAATTCTCACCTTCTGATTCAATCCTCTGCACGGTATGAAATGCACGTATAAATTATCCACAAAGTCCAATATATTTTTCCAGATGCTTGTCGGAACTGTCTGCCTCGTCAATTACGTAATAACTGTATCCTTAATTATTTTCTGTGTCATTTTAGCAAAAAAGCAATGTTTGAGATGTCACAATCACTGGTGTCAGTACCTTAATGTGTGTCCACGACAGGTCACTTCTTTTTTAATGTCCATTAAGCTCTGGACCAATTTATCGCTCACTGGGTTTTTAATCCCTCAAGATGGTCATTTATAAAACTCAATTCGGTTTTGGATGCTTGCGGCTACATGGGCAAGTCCTTGATTAGTTAATCTTAACTCTACATCTACACTCGTTTACAAGGTGTGAGGAATACAAAGGAATCAGAACCCACATATCTCATTTAAAATCAAAACAGTTTTTTCTTGTAAGAAAATTTAATCATTACTCTCGCATTAGAAAATAATGTTATCTCCGAGATCTCGATACAAGTTACCACCTTTTTTTGAAGCCCCTGGGTACATAAGTATATCCGAAAGACTGGTTAGAATCCGATAATTGAAACCAGGGGCCTGATTTTACTACTCTACAGCGGGAGAGGTCTGTTAAGCAGCTTGTTTATTTACTTAAGGACGACAGGTCGGGTAGTCTTCAAAGGAGTAGAGTGCTGGAAAATTCATAGCTGAAAAATATTGTTTATATTATTATTTTATGGTATTTAATCAAATTCAAATTAATTTCAATTAGTTATCAACAAATGTGATGCTTATCAGATTTTGAGAAAAGCCAGATTTAAGCGTTAAAACTGCGTGGATTTTGTCATTAATTTACTTATTCCTAAACTTTGTTATTTAGCCGTTACCTTAGACATACTGGCAAATCAAAGTAAAAGTTAATGAAATTTTGGTGAAATGTGAGAATTTAAATAAAAACATTTTAAGTAATTTTAGTTAAATATAAATATTATTAATGATTTTATTATTTTCTTTATTGAAAACTCTAGTTTATATTCTAAACGATAGTAACACACATGATCAAAATAATTTAAGATGCAATTTATCATAGAAAAAATAATTAACGCCCATATCAATGTCCTGAAACTTTTCCTGATTATGCTGAGGTTTAAAAGATATTTTCCTCTGTTACCTCCTTTTTTAAATTACCATGAATATCTGACACATAGAATGTTGAAATTATATATATATATATATATATATATATATATATATATATATATATATATATATATATATATATATATATATATATATATATATATATATATATATATATATTGAATTTTATGTTTTCTAAACGATTTTAACTAAACTTCTTTTAAAAAAAGAAATAATAACAATAAAAAGATAACGTAATGTAAACTTCTTCTTAGATATAAAAAAAAAAAAAAAAAGAAAAGAAGAAGAAGAAAAACTGTTTTGTGAAACAATTGTTACACCTGATATTTCACCTGACTATACACGTACCTTGTAATGAACAGGTAAGAGTATAATTACGTGTTAAATCTGAGGTATTATTCGTCTTTATACTTGAGATGATCTGAAAGGTGTATCAAATGTTATTTTTCAATTTCACATGGCTACTGAGATGTGAACGAGCTTTGTTCACAAAGAACGATAGCAGTCTGCAGAAGTGACCACGTACCAAATCGACCCGTTTCCACACCTGAAAAAAAACTCGTAAGCAAAGCGCACCCAAGTATCACAATATCAAATTGTTACAAATGGCTTATCTAATATGAATAACAAAGATTCACTTTCCATTTATGACTATCAAATTAACTTTAAATATTTAAAAAATTAAGGTATTTCATGTAGATATATTCTTGTAAAATTTTGCATGTGCTTGCTTCTTAGTTTTACAGTAGTTTGTAGTATTACAGTGGATCTTATTTTCTTTCTGTTACTAATATGTACATGTAGCAGACCATATACATATACATGTATTTTATTTTGACAATTTTCAAAATGTTGTATTATAGGAAAAGACTATCTAAGAATTTAAACTTGTGTCTAATCCTTTTAACTCTTTGTCAATAAAATATGTTCAATTCAATACAGTAGTTTTTTTTTTTCATCAGAAAAAAAGGTACTGAGTTGGAAGAGCGGGGTTGGGGGGCTTGCCGTACATATATTTCGAGTTTATTTATTTATTTATTTACAGTCTATATTCCAAAACCCCCTGCAGTGTCTATACAAATATATTGTTATATAAAAAGCCCCTGGACAGACATGAAGAATTATTTTATTTCTTTACACATTAATAAGTTAATTATAATAAGTAATAATTGCTCCATTAAAATACAAAGCGAACCGCTGTAACAGATGATGACCCGGCGAAAGAAAATCTATACCCTTCTGGATAAAATGACATGTTTTTAACGTTATTTCATTACTCTTCATCCAACAGAAAAATCAATTTGCATGTTTTTTTTCTTTTCAACTCGAACAATTGTCCAGACTGTAAAACGTTGTTTGTTGAATAATAAAGACTTTATGAGGACATAAAAGTAAATTTTATACCCTGTTTCTTCAATGAGTTAATAAAGCAGTCATGCGATATTGCGTTGCATTCTAAATTTATTCTTCTTGAAATGATGATTTAACCATCAACTTGAATTTGCATTTATAATTATGCAGGTGCGTTTTGATGTTCAAGTCCTCTCAATTAGATCAGATTACTTTTTGCAAGTTATTTAGGGCATATTTTAGAAAATTGTGACTATACGTACTCGAGCACATGCATGCATTATCTACATTTTTCTGCGAGTAGAGTGACTGCATGTATACTTGCTTGCATAGGAACAGCATTCATTTTTTCTGTACTGAATTAGGGTATTGGAATATATTTTCTAAAACAACTAAATGTGAAAACCGTTATTGAATATCCAGACATACTACCATTCACACGATTATGACAATATAATTTAGAGCTGCATTATGAGCGATTCTGTGCGCTTGTCGTTCTATGTTCATTGAGACACGCACGTTTCAATTAGTTCTAAGCTGGAAAATTACGTTTCAATATACATGTACAGGTATATTGGATACACACGTGAAGCAATTTAATAATGAGAGGTCCAATCAAAAACCACTTTGTTAAGTGTTTAATAAAAATTATAAACTGATTAGTTGGATAAATTACACCGACTTTGTGCTTATAGAATAGACAATAAATTGTGCATAATCAGAATTTAATGTTCAAATTAATATTGATATGATGACGTTTTCTTATAGACCATGTCAAAAATTGGGTCTTGTTCAAAATAAATTATCTAAATAATTATCATGAGAAATGTTATATTATTTTAATACTAATATATACATGCAATCTTTCATTCCGACTATAAGTTTCTCTTGTTTAATCTTTGTTTCCTTATGAATGTGTTGGGGAAGCTATTTCGCCTAAATTTCTGATGGTATTAATCTGTATCTGTTATTTGATGTTTGCATCTTTTGTATAGACAGGATATTCACCTGCATTCAGTTTCATGGTAAATTCATTTTTATGAAATTTATTTATTGTTTAAACACAAAGAGTTACAAACACTCCATTTAACATGCAGTTATATTATGAAAAACAACTTTAATATTAAATCTGATCATCACGTGCTTGATAAACTGCTTATCGCCATCCCTATAACATTTGTGTGACATATGAAGATGTTATTTGTAAAACACATGGGAGGGGCTACTTAAAAAATATAACCTAATTCAAAGAACTTTTATAACTTAACAACAAATACAGTTACATATGTTAAGTAATGAATATTCAATAAATATGAAAACATTTCATTATGCCAATAGGGTACACAGTAAAAACAAATATATGCATTAATACCATTCACATGTATAACGCAAAATATTTTTATTAGATTCGAAATATTTTTTAAGAATAAACATAGTGCCAATTTCAAAAAAATGTGCAACAAATAAATGAAGGAAGTGGAACAAAAAAGATAATCTGAAAAGCCCCCCTCCCTTCTAATATAAATTCATCCATACTTGGTCAAAACATATTTACATACATATAACTAGTATGTAAGGAGTTTGGAAACAAATAAAACTATTACATGTGCATGAATTCCTGGAAATTAGGGAATCATTGACAAGAGGATATGTGTATCATTAATATAATATGCGATCTTAAAATCAAATAACTTTCTGAGCAAAAAAATAGATAAAAAAATATTTTTTTTTTTATATAAACCCAAGGATAAAGAAAAGCCTTCAAAGGGAAACAACCCCGGTCTAGTTTAAGTATTTTCATTATCTTTGGGAAAATAGATTTGTCCTTCCTAACCTTCCAAAAGGCTAAGAATGACAACTCTTATTGAATAGAGCAAGAGTGAAAAATTACTTTGACTAAATAAATAAATAAACAAGATGTCTGTGGGCGAATGCTCACTAGTAATACCCCCTCTCTGACGTGAGTATACACTTTCCTGGTGACATCGAATACGTAGAAAAATGAATCCCACCATTTGACATACCTAAACAAAGAGTGTGCTAAAACTTCAAGTATCTGCGCTGAGCAGTTGCTGAGAAAACTGTGACGGAAATTTGGTACGGACAGACGCACCGATAAACAGGAAGTTGACATCGGATTCGAACAAAATTGAATCTAATCATATGGCATGCCTAAACAAAGAGTGTGCTAAAATTTCAATCATCTGTGATGTGTATAAGTTGCTGTGGAAGCTGTGACGAAAATTTGTTACGGACAGACGGACACATAAACAGAGTTGTCGTTCCCGCTATGCTCCCACATACACCTCAGGTGTTATGAGCGTTGCGGAAGACAACTCTGGATAGAAAATGAGATAAACCGGAAGTTGACATCGGATTCGAACAAAAATTAATCCAACTATATGGCATGCCTAAACAAAGAGTGTGCTAAAATTTCAAGCATCTGTGATGAGTAGTTGCTGAGAAAACTGCGACGAAAATTTGTTACGGACGGACGCACAGATAAACAGAAAGTTGACATCGGATTTGAACAAAAATGAATCCCACCATATGGCATGCCTAATCAAAGATAGTGTTAAAATTTCAATCATCTGTGATGAGTATAAGTTGCTGAGAAAACTGCGACGAAAATTTGTTACGGACATACACACGGACACACAGACAGAAACACCAGGGTAAAACAGATACTCCCCCCTCTCCTTCGGAGCGGGTGTATAATAAATAAATTAGTTGACATTAAAGCACGTTCACACTAGGTTGATCCTGTGACCTTTATTTCTGATTCTGTCTTTGGTCTGTGTTTCCTTGTAGAACCCCTGGAACTGAATGACGAGACATATAAAAACTGTCTATAGAATTGTCCACGTGCTTAGAGTATTGTTCCATTTATTTTTTGATCATCATACATGTAACTGAATCAAAAACTCCGACTGAAACTTACCACGTTGTTTGCGTATGATTATTTTTTTCGGCTTTCCTTTCAGTTTGTGGGCGTTTAGCAGAAATTGGGGGACCCTTGTCTTTGTTTCTGAAACATACGATAAAAGGAAAACGATTATACATGTAGTTCTACAAAACACTTAACGCATGTCTGTTGGCAGATTTACATGTACTTCAGTCTTCTTTTGACCCATCATATTAAGATGTTGGAAGGAATTCAAAATACTTTCAGTCTATTTTACTGCTGAAAGTAATACATGTATTATGGATTGCATAAAGAAATTTGTCAAGAATTACAAAGGGGAAGTAACTACGTCTCTTTTCCTTGCTCTGGTCTGCCTGGTTCTTTCTTCGCTGCATGGAGCTCTTTTCTTAGTTTAAGTGTTGCTGTCCCGCCTTCCTTTTGCAATCGATTCTTTTCAGCTCGCAGCCTCTCGTTTTCTTTTTCCAGATCCCTGCAAACATTAAAAAAAAATTCACCATCCCTTATGTCAAACAAGAACTGGTTCTATACATCTTCAATTACAGAAACAAAAATTATGTTACCTGTATCTTTGACTTTTATTAGAACTATTAGTGTTTTCAGACAAACTCTCGATCTCTAACTGCAAAATCTTCACTTGTTCTTTCAGAGCTCTGTTTAAAAATGTATAGAAAAGTAGCTGATGTTAACCTCGATGTACTTTTGTATTTAAAAAAATATCGCTGAATATCATTTTTTAACCATCAAATGACAATTGCATGAGCCACAACAGTCATTAAAGTTACAGTTCTTAGCTTATACTGACAATGAAACGACAATGAATTTCTAACAATCTTAGTAACAGTTTAAAATCAAACTTTTGTATCTCGAACTCGATATGGACCGATAAAAATGGACCGATAAAAAAACGTTGAGGTATCCGAGGGTTGCATGCAGAACTGTAGCGTTATGGTTTTATATTTTAGTCTTTGACCATAACGCTACAGATCACGTAATGCAAATATGGCACAATTCATGGCGCAAGATTGTCTGCGCACTTTAAGAATGTATTACTCCATTTTCCAGCATTGGACAATGTACTACTTTTTTTCCCTAATTCTAGACATATTCTTTTACCAACCTGTATATTTTATTCACCTCCTGGCCCTTTATAATTGTCTCTACAGACCAATAAACTCGATTGTTTTGAATTTTCTGCCATCCGACAAAAAATTTTAAAAAAGAGAGAGTTTATTGGTCTGTAGTGACGACTATAAAGGGTTAGGAGGTGGATGAAATATACAGGTTGGTAATAGAATACATATATGTCTAGAATTGGGGGAAAAAAGGTATTTAAATAGTCCAGTGCTGGAAAGTGGAGAAATACATCCCAAAAGTGCGCAGAAAATCTTGCGCCGTAAATTGCACCATATTTGCATTACGTGCATGATCTGTGGCGTTATGGTCAAAGACTAATATATAAAACCACAACGCTACAGTTCTGCAGCTATCCAACGGTTCGAATTACTCTGGATAAGTCGAAAATTTTAGACATTTCTCATCAAACTTAGAGAAAACTTCAACAAGTTATGTTCATTATATATCATGTTTAGTCCTCTCATGACTAAAGAACTGTCAACATTATTACAAAACTTTAAACTGAGTATTACAAATTTAAATGCATGTTTATAAACAAACTCAGTGTTTTCGTTGTTGCTGTTTATTGACTCTCTATAGGTGGCCTGTTCTTGTTCCATCTGTGTCTTCCAATCCCTCAAAGAGCGCAATTCTTTCTCTAAGTTGCTGCAGAAAAAAAAGTTAATTTAACTAATTAAATTCCTTAGAATATGTTGCATAACGGAAAGAGATGTAGTAACGTATGAGTTACCTTTTCCTGATCGTGACTGCATTTAGTTTGGACTGGAGAGACTTCACTTGTTTCTCTTTCTCCATTGTTACTTTGTCCAGCTCGTGTTGTAGGACTTTATTTTTCTCCAACAACTCCGCAAAATCTCGTTCGTAAGATCTAAAAGGAAACAAAACAGTATGCAGGGAAATTTTTCATTTTTTTCCGATATCAAATTCTTCTTCACAGTTTATCTTACCTTGCATTACATTCTTTTTTCAAAGCCGTAAAAATTTCCTTGTCTATTCTGAACTTGGAGAAATCGTGATACACTGGATGCAATACATCCGGGACTTTTGGGCCAAGTTTCCTCTCAAAGTAATGAGACTTCTGAATTATTTCCAGAGCATTTCCTTTCTGTAAACTAATTTCCGCCTCTTCTACAGACTTCTTGATTTGTGCCAATTCCTTCATCAGTGATGTTTTGTGCTTTTTCATAGATTCCAAACGATTGGCATTCTCCTTTACTAGTTTGTTGCTGATTTCTCTAATAATACCTATCATCTTTGCCGTTTTTGCCTCCAAATCACGTGAAGCCGTTTTGTCCTTCTGATTAAAAGTTTCGATAGCCGCTTCTTGATTTGTAATTTGCTCTTGAAAATGTTTAATTTTGGTGGCCGAAACTTCGCTCAGCAGTTTCCGTATCTTGGCACTTTCTTCTTCCGCTTTTGTTTCCAATTGCGTCAAACTGTGCGAATTGTGCTCTGTTATGAGACACATCTTGCAAATCGGTTTGTCACACTTAGCACAAAAGATTTCTAAGTTTTCATCTTCGTGCTTTTCGCATCGGATGTTGTGAAGTAAGTTGCTCTCTTTGCCTCTATTCATTTTTGAGATGATAGTGTGCATCTTGGTCAGTTTTCCGTGCTTGTGAATCTTGTAGCAGTTAGCACACATGAAATCAGAACAGTTTAAACACTTCCATTCTACTGTAGCAGGCGTTTGACAAAGCTCACATTTTGACTCCCAGTCCGATATAGTCCTGTGGGATTTAGGTCTTTTGGCGTTCATTTGTACTTGATACACGCTTGCGTTAAGGGTTCCCATTTCAGTACACTAGTAAATCATCGCTTGGTACAGCGACTGCAAATTTTAGATATGAACAGCTACTTTTCCGAAATAAATAAAATGTTAAAACCATTAGAATTTACATAGTACACTTAAGCTGATGTAATTTATGCCTATAAACAAAGCATTTAACAATCCATAAAGAAAAGATATTCTTGACGATTTGCACAGACAATGGAGGTCTTTTTCTCAATATTCAAACCCAATCATGTGTCTATTTCTTTTTGTATTTTCACCTGTGTTGCATTTACTTAAAGTAAAATCTATTAAAGTAATGAAGGGAAAAAACGAAACTCAGATCGATTTCTCATGTTTTTATTGAAAAAAGTACTGCTTTCAAAAACATCTCTAAACTTTTCGTATGCTTGCATGAATGAGCTGAAATGTGCCCCTCCAAAATAAAAGAAGTCTTTCAGGTCTGTGTTTCAGAAGAGGCCATTTCTACTTTGTTTCTTTTGATAACAAAGCTTCGTCGTGGCTCATTGCACCTTTTACCATCCCAAATCCTGTCAAGAAAAAATATTATATATATATATATATATATATATATATATATATATATATATATATATATATATATATATATATATATATATATATATATATATATATATATATATATATATAAAATTTTAAAAAATCCTTTGAGCTGAATGTTACAAATATAGCGTCGAAAGAATCTGCACACATTTTCGAATTAGAAGTACTACTGACATGTATTCTATACTATGAAATTCGATGCCATAATTTATAAATGCGTTCACGCCAGGAGATGTTTATTATATGTGCTGACTGGCACCATGGATTTTCAGGTAAGTTATCGTAGCTTTTTTTTTTTTTTATCGAATCAAGATTGTAAATTTGCCCTTTTACCTATTTTCAAAATGTACATGTACTGATATTCCCTATCTTTAATATCGCTTTCGATATGAAAAAAAAAACCACACTTCTTTTTTCAATACTCAGGGCCGGAGGAGGCTTTTTCAGATTCAAAGTGCTATGATGTAGGGGCCACTCTAGAAAAAGTTCTAGACCAGAATAATTGTCGTTCAACCAAAAAGAAAAGACTGTCAAATTAATAGTGGTGGGGTGGGAGGGAGTCTTTCATCTTTGGTACTGACCCCCCCCCCCCCCATTTTAGAGGCCTATTTCGTTAGGATTTCTTGAAACATCCCTAGAGACTCCAGTGTTTGCAAGTTTTCTGGTGACCCTCTCCCACAGGCACTTGTTTCGTGTATGGGGCAATCCCTACTTATTTTTACCACAAGGTACCTAACTCAATTTCAGGCACCCCCGCTTCAAGCTCGTATTTTGTTAATATATCAATCATTAACCGACTTTAAAATGACATCGTTCGCTTCGAGGAACTTAAATCGTTTCAGACGTCTTTGGTCGAGCCTCTTTATTGTAAACCACTCATTTCTTCCTCGAAAATTACCTTTAGTGTTAAACAAAATTTAATGCCTGTGCCCTCTCCCTTCTAAGGACACAGCATGCTTGATAATCTATTTTCTTTTTTAAGAAATATGTACAAAGTGCCAGAATATTCTTGCGGGTTTCCACTTTCCAGTTGCATTAAATTTAACCTTTTTGCTCTTTAAACGCAAGATTTGAAGAACATAGACAGATAAGGCATGCCTGAACAATGCGTGTTGTGAAAATTTACTATTATAGGCTTAAAATAACATGCCTACATATATAATTAGAATGAATGAGAAAAGTTTTTTTTTGTTTACGATATGTACAGTGTTTTTTTCAAACGATGTATGTTTCGTCCACATCATTGGTTGAACATTTTTTGATATGTTTGTGGGGATGGGTTTAAAATTTGTTAACGTAAAAACATCGAATTAAATACATATGGGGAAAAACAATTACTTTGTATTTATCATCTATATGTTCCCATAATCTCTATTTACTATTGTAAAATGGTGATGTGATTCAAATACATGTAAATGAGTGAATTTTTCAAATCAAATCAAAGAAAGACAGATATACTGATTAATGTAAAAAGAAGGACCAATATTGTAGGAGTTCCATTAAACTTTCAATTGGATGGCAAAGACGAAAGTTTAAACTGACCTCTTGAGGAAAAATGTCATAAATCCGATGACAATGTTAGAAGCAGTGATGATGATAAGGACTTCCCACCATGTCATGGTCACGTGAACATCACCAGTACTTTACTAAGATGCTGTTACTGGGATTAAAAATGCCCCAGTACGTTAATATTGTAGCCACTCCACATGAAAACACACACCTATATCTGGCCTGTATACTAGTAGATAAGAGCACCAGGAATACCCGTGTTGAACACATTGATTTATTTATCGCTAAACAAATTAGTCCAGGTAAATTTGATGTCAAACATGTCGCCTCTATCGAACCTATATTACTCCTTTCAAGTGCTGATTGTGAAGTTTCACGGAGATCATCTGGACACGAGCTCAAATGTAAATAAACTTAACAATATGACCTTCGTGTGAAATATCTATTTTATATCTTCTGAAAAAAAGGACGCTGACAAATTCATATTAAGCAAAGTTCGTAGTAATGTTTGCAAACCATATGAGTTTGGGAACCAGGGAACATCAAGAACCTCGATCAACAAGTAGAGCTTTTTCAAAAAACTTTGCTGTCTTCAGCAACAGCCTTAAACAGTAAACTGGAATACACATATCAGACCGAATTATTCATGAGTTTTCTTAGCTTTGTATTTTGTCAACAGTAGCCCCATCATAAGAAAGTTCATCTAGACGCTCGGCTGTCTCCGTAAATTCCGACTCTGCTTGTCAGAGTTTACGGAGACAGCCGAGCGTCTAGTTGAACGACTATCTATAGACAGTTTTAAACATAGGGAAAAAATAATACGAGTTGTATGCTTGCATGAAATGAAGAACATTTCCGATTACCAAGAAAATAAAGAAAAGCTTTATAGTACTTGCTATAAAAATTAAAGTGTAATTTAGATCCATTTATTGGCATTGTCCTCTGTTCGTTTTGTCGATTTTTAAAAAAAAATAAAATAAAAATCTTGAAAAATTGTCATTAAAAATTGAAAATTAGATCACCAGAAAATTATCTCCCTTGTCTTGAACAACATTTCAACCAATGAAATAATTTATATTTTTACATGATGCAATTTCTACCAATCACAAACAAGAGGAAGTGCATAGTCCGAAGACCGTAAAATACTTGAACCCTGTATGCCGTCTTCCAAGGAAGACGGTAATAAGTTGCTAAACGTAAAGATATATACATGTACATATACAACAAATTTCATTTTTATAAGATCTTTTCAAGAAGGATAAAGCTAAAATTTCTCAGATTAAAATTATATAAGTACCCTCGTCTACAGTAGATTTACTTCTGTCGAAATCGAATTAAGACTACCTGGGTAAAGCCAAAATATAGTCATATTTTCAACGCCGTCCTAAAATTCACTGCCTGCAATGCTTCTCATTTGTCCTGTTTATCACAAGGAATAGAATTTCATTTAAAAAAAAATGCTTGAAATTAACTGAAACAAAAGTTCCCTCAAAACACTAGTACTGCAGTGCTTATTTACCGGGTCTGACAAAAAAATACCTATAGAAATTGTTGTATTTTTCAGAGCGATATAAAAAATTTTCTATGTTTATAATGACTGCTGATTGACAAGACAATTCGCTGTGTGGAAGTTCTCATTTTTTGCACAATTTTTTTCTTTTTTCTATTAGCTCTACTGGAAAGAAATAATGTGGTTTTTTTTCTTCTATTTGTCAGTTCTTTCTTTACTGATTAAAATACGCACCAAATTCATAACATGAATCTAGTTGTAACAGTTGTGAGCTTTGACTTCTTATATAGGCCCCTTTCGAGTGAAAAAAATGAATCTTATATTTATAGGAAATTATGCTTGATATGAAATGGCCCTTAAATCACTCCATTTTATTCCTGATTCATAACTTTGCATCGCTAGCTTAATACTAGCTTGATACATGTATATTAAACAATAATTATCTCAAAATTGAAATGATTTGGACAGAAATCAGTAACTGCCTATTTTAATCCTCTTTTGATAATTCTACAATTCGCATACTGAATAACTTCATAAACACGCTATCTCGTAATCATTCGTAATGCCCACCACACACAAATACACAAATCTTCCAAGTATATGAACTATGAAAAACGTTCTTTCTTCACAAGACGTCCATTCCCCTGATAAAATAATCACTGTCATTCAGATGTAAGTCTCAGCTTCTGTAACTTCTATTCCTGATCTAGAAAAGTTAGAAAAGGTCTCCTCACGTACATAAAGACGTTTTTCTTCCGTTCGATCAAAGTCACAAAACCGGCTACAGAACCATTTTCTGCAACTCCTACAAAGTTCGAAATAGTTTATCATTACAATATAGTGTGACCATTTATAAACTTGTACATATCATTACAATATAGTGTGACCAATATTATGATTATAAACTTGTGCATTTATCTGTCATATCAGCTTACCTTAACCTTCGGATGTAAATAAGTATAAGACCTATTGTTATTGGTCCAAGAATCATAATAACTATGACGAAAACTTCATATTCCTCCATCAAGCAACCGTATCACACCGGAAATATTGTCAGCAACAAAACCTAGTACCATTTCTTTATAATAAGACTACGAGCCAATCTCAGCCATGGACACGATTTGTAAGGTCAGGCGATTTTAAAAGGGAGATCATCTTTAAATTACTTTGCTCTAATTATATTGTGAAACTTTTAGATAGTATTTCACTTGAGCCGGTTGTGAATTACAATACAATTCTTAATCATTCTTCCATACAAGTGTCTCGAATAACCATGCAGTGAAAGTTATTAGTGCGCCCTTTATCAGCTTGTGGATTTCAAGATAGAATAAAAGCTAAAGGGTAGATAACACACCATCGGATCATACATTCTGGTTACAGACTACTAATTTTACCCCTATTTCATTGACCACGCAAGTAG